CCCCCTCCGCAGGCCTGACCCGCAGGAAGCGGCTTCTTGGCCTGCCCGGGGCACTCCTCCCGCCCCCTCCCAGCCGCCCGGGTTTCCTGTGTGGAAATGGGGCCTGGATCCCGCCTTGGTGAACACAATGTCAGGAGGGAGAAATCACCCTTCCAGCTTCCTGTTTGCTGGGAGCAGACTCCAGGGCCAAGCACCCCCCTTTCCCCCAGGCTCCCAGGCACCCAGCTGGGGCAGGGCAGGGTGGGGCTGCTGTCCCAGGAGTGGGGCCTCCACCCCAGAGCTGCAGGGAGCTCTGACTGGGGGCCTTAGACTCCCCTGGGACCGTGGAGCTGGGGGCCCTGAGACATCAGTGAGCACCCGAGGCAGGCATGCACCCCCAGGTGGCAGGTGGGACAGACGCCCAGCCATGAACACTCTCGAACTCTGCAGTGGGGACGGAGCAGGAAACTGAGGCCACTGCCCTCCGCATCCCCTGCCTCGCCTCAGGAAAGTGCCAGGTGCCCCCAGGGGAGGGCAGGGCAGGGTGGCCGTGAGAGACACCGCCTGGGCAGGTGGTCGCTGGGGCTGACCCCTCACCTCAGGCTCCCGGGCCCCTCCCCCCACACCTGCAGGGCTCAGCCCAGGGGGAGCCCCACGGAGATGCTGATGTGACCCCACCCCATTTCCCAGGGGGGCCTGGTCAGGAGAGGACAAGGCTCCACATCCGGCTTCCCTGGGGCTGGAGCCCAGGAGACAGATGCCCAGGGGAAGCAGACACTGAGGCCGGCAGGAAGTGTGGCTCCGGCTCCAGGGGGCAGCAGGCTGTCTGCCAGGCTCACCCATCTCTGTGCCCGGTCCCCAATATCACTGCTGCCACCATCCCCACCACCGTCACCACGCCACACGAATGTCACCCACTCCACCGCCCTTGCTGTGGGTCAATTTTGCCACCTATGTGACAGTGACCACAGAGGAGGCTCAGGGCCAAACCCCCACTCAGAAACCTCAATGCTGTTCCCTGGCCCCGGACACCCCCTCACCCAGATAAGACCTGGGAGGGAGGACCCCAGACTCTGGAGCGAGAGGATGGGCACCTGAGGCGGGGAAGGCGGGGCAGCTCGGGCCTGTCGGACAGGAGCTCGGCTCCTGCCACCACCCTGGCTCCAGCCCTCTATATGCCCCCCCACCGGCCCTCTATACCCCCGTCCCTGGTCGTCCAGCCCAGACTGACTCCTACCTGGCCCTGCCCCCCAACACAGCCTCCTGGTGCCCAGGGCCGGGGTGGGCAGGGTGGCAGAGCAGGCCTGGACTGGCACAGTGAGTCAGATGGGCACGGTGCCCGGGGAGCAGGCTGGCCGTGAGAGACACCGCCTGGGCCAGTTCATGCCCTTGTCCCTGCATGGCCCAGGCAGGCATGCAGCTTCCTCCCACAGGCTCCCAGGCCACTGCTCCCGCCCCCCCCGGGGCTTGGTTGACCCTGGCCGTCCACTGGGACCCTGGGAGTTCTGAATCTGTCCCTCCTCCAGGGAGAAGGGGCACCAGAGTGCCTGCTTTGGGCCTCAGTTTCCCCAAATGTTCGCCAGCAGGAGGCACCACACGGGCCTCCCTGGACTGCGGCCCGCTGGGTCTCGGCACCGTTCCCATCCATAAAATGGGCGTCCTGGTCCTCGAGGCTGCTCTCAGCTGGGTTCCTAGCCTGTAATGACAGGGCTGAGGGCTTTGATGTCCCAGATGAAAGGCAGTCCCGGCTCCGGGGGCCCAGGACAGGGGGTTCCCGTCCAGAAGCAGGCGCCACCCTCCCAGCCTCCCCCAGGCTGTGGGAAGTGGGCTCCACAGGCCAGTCCGAAGATCAGCCAGGGTCTGCTGCAGAGACCCCAGCCGTCCTGGTGCTGGGGGTGGGTCAGTGAGCGTCAAGGACAGGAGGGGGCCCCCAGCCAGAAGCAGGCTCTGGGCCACTCCAGTGATTGAGGGGAAGGGGAGGGAGCTAGGGGTGGTCTCTGCAGAAGGAAGAGACCCACCCAGCAAGCCCCACGCACCATCCCATCCCCCACACAGCCGGGGGAGACAGTGCAGGGCAGGCTGGGAGCAAGCCCAAAGCCCTCGCAGGGGAGCTGGGCTCCCTGGCAAACCTCCCAGCCTCCTGTGTGACCCCAGCCAGACCTCCTGGTCCCTGAGGATGGGGCCCTGATCCACCCAGACCCCAGCACCCCCTGGTCCCTAAGGACAGGGCCCTGATCCACCTGGGTCCCCCAGTCCTTCAGGATGGAAGGGGATCCCTGCACCAGGCAAGGTCAGACCCCGGGTCACAGCTGGCTGGACCAGGTGGGATCCCCTTAGATATGAGGTACTGGAAGGATCTATCCATCCCGCCCCGAGTCCCGTCACACCCAACTCCCTAAACCCAGTGACAGGGAAGCAGGCGTGGGTGGCATCTGGCTGGGAACCACATCTGGCCTCAGATCAGAAAGGGAAGGAGAGCCTGGGGGTGGAGTCCTGCCCAGTGCCTCCCAGCTGACATGACCCAGTCCCACAGGCTGGGGGCCTGGTGCCCCCGGCAGCCCAGTGAGGAGGCAGCCTGGGGGGGGGGCTCTGGCCTGACCCACAGGGGCCACATGGCCATACAGAGGACCAGGCTTGTTTCAGGCCGACAAGGAGGGTCCAGCCCCCAGCTGGAACCCTCCCAGGAGAAGCCTCCTTCGTCCC